CTGCTGGCGTAGTTTTCTATCTCCTTTCTTTCTCTTCTTCTCGCAACTAGCTGGCGGTCTGTAGCTCTGGCTTCAATCCACAGTTGAGACGAAGTGCAGCATTTGGTTCGCACGTGCCCTCGTTGAGCTGGCGGTCTGTAGCTCTGGCTTCAATCCACAGTTGAGACGAAGTGCAGCATTTGGTTCGCACGTGCCCTCGTTGAGCTGGCGGTCTGTAGCTCTGGCTTCAATCCACAGTTGAGACGAAGTGCAGCATTTGGTTCGCACGTGCCCTCGTGCCGAAGAAACGCAGGGCGAAGATATGCGCCACCAGCCTTCCCCATGCCGAACGCTACACACAACCTACACTAGACCTGCACTACTAAGCAACCTGACGGACGCTGGCTCTTCCGGTAAACGGGAGCTCTAACTCTACGGCGTTAAAATATCCTTTTACGGAGACCTTCGCTCCCGCCCCCATTTCGAAATCCGCTTCCACATTTCTGTTTTGCTTTCTTTGCAACAGATGGCGCCAATCAACGTGTGTTTTCTGGTTCCGCGGTGTTCCCTTCGGTCGAAATTTTATACGCATGCAAACAACAAGTGAGATCGGTTAGACGTTCTGCTTGAGCAAAATAAAATAAGAATGCGCAGAAACCTGACCTCATCCAAAAGCACCCGCCAAACTCGCGCAGCATGTGCAGATTCATGGGTTACCACGGAGATGCTGTGACCGGGGAAATAGTCTCATATTATTTCGCAACGACGTAATTTTAACGCGATAGCGTTAAGGCTCCCGTTCCGCGGAAAAGCCGGCGCAGTAGTCGCGGTAGTGGTGGTACTTCTGAGCGAAACATTCAGATTGGTCCAAACGTCGAGCCACTGAATCTTTCCAGAGTAGCGCAACTCCCAAGGTTCACGTCGAAACCATGCCGCGGCGCTGCCATCGACTGCTACAAAAAGCCCCTTGTGTGTTAAAAGTAGCGCCATTCATTGTTGTAGAAATGCACGCAGCGCGTGCCCCGCACCGCTTTCGGGAAGAACATGGCGGCTTGATTGCGGCGGCTTTGTCGAAGCCACAATCAAGCCGCCATGCTCTGTATTTCATCTCAACTGAATCTGGGTTGAAGGCAACGATACGGGCCACCAGCTCTAATCACGAACAGCCAGTTGAAAGAAGAAGGGAAACAGAGAAGAAGAAGAAACAAAATCACGCTAGTAGGTTTGGCAACGACCTACGCTCAGCACGAAACAAAGCATACTGTATGATTAGAAGTGTGTGTAACGAGAGATGTACTAATTAATGAACTAGTAATTGAGCGAGTTCACGGTATGCTGTTGTACCCATCAGGCGGAGCTTGAGTGTTTGCCCCCCCCCCCCCCCCCCCCCCCTCTCCTGAAAAATGTCCATTGACTGAGGCGTGGCCGAGCTGGAGAGGAACGGAACGACGGAACTGCGGTTCTACCACCCGATCTACTGTCTGGCTATGAAACGCATGATGACATCCACGGATGAGAGTAATGACGCCACTGTGATAATATTGCGGCAATTAAATTATTCTTTGCGTAATGTGTAAGATATAATTTTCTGCTCACTGTCTCGAACTACTTCAGTGCAATTATTTTTTTAACATTGCTCCTTAGTTTTGCAGCTGCTCTCATTTTCCTAAATTACGACGTCTCTTTCCGGAACCTGTAGAAAGCTCGCGTTTTCTTGTTATGCCAGCTTGCCGAGAGGGGACAGAAAAAAAAAATAGCAGGGCGTAGACGAGGCCCATCCGTGACCTAAGCATCGTACCTTGGAGCAAGGCGACATTGACGTTGCCGGATGGCAAAAGAAGAAAAGAAGACCAGGGCGAAAGCGACAGCACACCTATACAAAAAGATTGAATGTGAAGACAAAGCTTGGAGGCCAGATTCCGCTTGACTTAGGAAAACAACCGGGTTACTGACGCCACGTCGTCTGAGTTAGTACCGGCTGTACAATGCGAGTGACGCGATACCTTTAAGCAGGCTTAGGCTTTCGCCCAAGCCCTTGTTGTGCGAAATTTGGGTGCCCGTCCTCACAATAAAGGCGGATCATCATCGCGACCTTCAGTAGCCGGGGGAGGGGGGACTGCTTTTCATAACGGGGGGGGGGGGGGGGGGGGCTTAAAGTGCTGTTTTAAAAAGGAGCTGGTGGTTTTTCAACCAAGACGAGGTGAACTTTTTTTTTTTTTTGCTTTCTCTCTTTTTCAGATTTCGCTTGACTTAGGAAAACAACCGGGTTATTCGCGCCACGTCGTCTGGTTTAGTACCGGCTGTACAATGCGAGTGGCACGAGACCTATAAGCTGGTTTAGGCTTTCGCCCAATAAGTTAAAATTGTGCGTCCGTCCCCACATCCTTTGACTGGAACCACCTGGCTGCACCCGTAGTCTCCATCATAGATCATGTTCTTTTTAAAAAAACCTTGGAACGCATTTTTTTTATATAATCTTCACTGATTGCATTTTCCTGTGTATCTGTGTCTGTTTTTTTTTTTTTTTTTTTTTTTTAACTCATGCAACCACTTCCCCCTATGTAATGCTCACGCCCTGAGGGTAATATAAATAAATAAATAAATAAATAGAAGCGGATCGTTGTCGCGACCTCCGGTAGCCTAGAAAGCACTACAGTTTTCGTAAGTGGTGTTTAAAAGATGGACCTGCGGCTTTTTTAACCACAGTGATTCTTTTTTTTTCCCCCTTTCTCCCTTTCTCGCGCGTGCTTTTGCTTTCGATCCGCTCTCAACAGCGAGAGGCAGCCGAATGCTATGCGGATCTGCATATCAAAAACTGTTTAATGTTAAGGACTAGAACTTTTACAAGTGGCTTTTGTGTCGTGAAGGTTCTTTCACTCAATTAGCATTTAAAAACTAAAGGAACAAGGAAGAAGAACACCGGTCTGTGTGCCAATAAAGTGAATAAAATGTGCGTAAGTTACTGCTTTGAGTATGTTCATTGATAGTTATTTCATTACAACTCGAAATCAATTACAATGGAATGCAATTACTTGTACTTCTCGGCAGTTTTAGCCTAATCTGATTACATTTGCGATTGTTCGGGGAAAAGGATTAGTAATACAATTTAGCTACTTCAGTGTGCATCCGTCTTGTTCCAACGCGCGAGGCTTGGGTGGCAGATGACATTCGTTTGTACGTGTTTCTTTTTTCTTTTTCCTTTCTAAACCGTTTCGCAGAAACCTGCAATAAAAAGGTTTTGTGATTTTCCTCTACGTTACGAAAAGGTTAACCTCTAGTTTTAGGGAGAAAATAATTTTTCGAAACTATAGAGTAACTTCCTCCAACTTAACATTCTTGCTTAATTTACTATATTACTATATTGCTTGGTCAGGAATGTAATCAGTTTGCTCATGACCTGGGAAAGTAATTTATTTACTGTAATTTCACTACAGTGATGTCATTACAACCATTCCTGATTGCGATTGGTGGATTTTTCTTACACCTGCACTTTTTCCGCGTTAAAGCGGTTGACACAAGTGGGTAGAAGTACGGCCGCTAGCTCCCCAGTTTCTTTTCATTTTCTTTTTTTTGAAAAAAAAGTTTATCCATTTATCCATCCATTCCTTTGCTGCGGGTAGGTAGGCTTGGAACCGGTTGGCGTTTGTCAAGGCTAGGGACAGATTAGTAACAGACAGGCCTATCCTCCGTTTCACTCTAAGCTGGACTAGGCGCCGAGGCTACGGGCCATCAGGTCCAAGCAGGAGCCAGTTGGACAAGTCACGTGCTTAAACAAAACGCGAGCGGGTGACAGGCGGATCGGACGGTGCAGAATGGCTCGTGACTTCTCCCGCTGCCCTCTGGTTGGACCTGACAGCTTGTAGCTTCGGCGGCTAGCCCAGCTTAGGGTGAGACGCTGTATAGGCGGGGGATTTTAAGCCGCTGTGAAGGTTTTTCCCGACTCCCTTGCTGTGTGGCTTTGGAGCTGTGAACTGTGTCCGGAGAGCCTGGTGTAAGGACGTGCCTTCCCTTCCCCTTTTTCTTTTTCCCCTCCCATGCTCATGACCGTGGTTGTTGCTGTTCTGGAGTCAGCAAACCCAGCCGCTTTGGATGGCCTTTCCAGTGTTGTAACTTCTTTTTCTTGCGTTTCACACTCTCTCAAGTTGAAAAAAAAAAAAAAAATCTCCACAGCAAAGTTATAAATGACCTTACTTAAGCAAACGGGGGTTCAGTTCAGTTTGGAAGCAACATGTCGATGAACGTAAGCGCGTGGACGACCGAAGATCTCTGCGCATGGCTGACTGAGAACCAACTAGAAGCAGCGTGCTCTTCGTTTCGAGGTAAGGCTTCCATCGTAGTAATGCGTAATTTCTTCAGAGTATTGCTAAAGGCACATTACCGCTAAAAGGCCCGATATTGATGAACGGAGAACGATTATTAATTAGAAACATCAGCTTTCTGAAATTATTTGTTTCTTAAGCGGTTTTTCGGAAATTGAGCCTCATAATTGAGCCCGATAAAGCACCGAACGCGAGGATATTCCTTGAGCAGCCAGGGGCCTGATTTGGCGGTACTGTGCTCCCGGCATCTGTATTTCTATTGATGACACGTCACGTTGGCTATTCAGTAAAGAAATCATTTCTATTTCAGCTTAACACACCAACATGACTTTAATTTTTCGATGCACGATATGTGACATCGCTAAATTTTCTCTCGGCAAACTGTTGCAGCACCTTTATCTGATACATAGCCAAGCTCCAAACTTTTCCCTTACGTGCCAACTTAACTCATGCACTGCTCATTTCAAAAAGTTTGAATCTTTCCGAAGGCATGTGCATCGAAAACACGGCAATCTCTTGAGCAGTTCGCACTTCAGTAGCACGGCGGTCAATGAGCACGTTGGTGACAATGAACAAAGTCACGAGGGAAACGATCCACCACATGACATCCGTGTAGCTGCTGTGTCCCCCTCAAATTCTGTCATGCATTTTAGGCAGTTATTTGTGGGGTTAAGGGACACCCTTTGTGGCTTCATTTTAAGCATGAAAGAGAAGCATTGTGTTCCGGGTGTCGTTCAGGAGGATGTCACCGAAAACATTCGCACGCTTTTTAACTTTTTTTCGTGTCACTACGTAGCCATATTGAGAAGTCATTTGGCCAAGGTTGGTTTAAACACGGAGGAGGATGATGGCTTGAACGAAATCCTGAGTTTGGATGAGTGCTTCGAACACGCCCTTGAGGCAGTCAGCAGTGAGCATAAGCTGACAACGTACTGCAAACGCAAGTACGACTTAGTTGAGCCTATAGAGTGTCACCTTGATAGCGCTGATGGTGAGAAAAGAGTTTATCACTACATCCCGGTCTTGAAAGTAATAGAGGCTGAGCTAAAAAAAGGTGACGTAATGTCGGCTCTCTTGACCAGTAACGCGCGACGGGAAAACAGGGAGTGCATGACAGACTATTGCGATGGAAGCCTTTTCCAGAGGCACGAGCTCTTCGCAAGTGGAGAATTTTCCTTGCGTCTCCACTTCTACACTGACGAATTTACGGTAGTGAACCCGCTTGGCTCGAGAAAGAGCGAGTACAAAATTGCGGCGTTCTACTTCGTTATTGGCAACCTACCTGCGCAGTATCATTCCCAAATGAAGCACATTCATTTGGCTATGCTCTTCAAGCACAGCCATTTGAAGAATCACAGTTATGGGGAAGTTTTAAAACCTTTAGTTTCAGACTTAAAAAAGCTTGAACATGGGATTCAGGTTAACACTGCTGTAGGAGCGTTAACAGTGCGGGCAGCGGTTGCATGTGTCTGCATGGATAATCTTTCAGCGCATCAGTTCGGCGGATTTTCGACAAGTTTTAGAGTGCGAAGAATTTGTCGGTATTGCATGGCCACCTCTGAAACTATGATTGAAACAGATGTTTCGACGTTCAAATTAAGGACACTCGATATTCATGAAATTCACCTGCAAGCCGCAAAGGCGGATCCTGAACTTAGCAAAGTGTACGGTGTCACTCGCGAATGCCCGTTCTCGGAACTCAAGTTTTTCGACGTGACAGTCGCTTGCCCTCCTGATCTGATGCATGACTTGCTGGAAGGCATTGTACCCCGCGTGATCAAGCTTGCGCTAAAAAAAGCTAATTGATGAACGCCACTTTACACTGGAGTTCTTGAACAAACGAATCAAGTCTTTTAATTACGGGTTTTCCGACAGCACTGACAAGCCCGTGCCTATACCAAAACAAAGCTTGAGTAAAAGGGGATTAATTCCTGGCAAAGCTGTCCAGAAAATGTCGTTGCTGACATTCCTACCACTGCTTATCGGCCACAAAGTGCCAAAAGGTAACCAAACCTGGAAAATGTTCCTTCACCTCCGCTGTGTAACGGATATTGTTTTCGCTCCATCAATTGAAAGGTCATGGGTGCCATACCTTGAGCATCTAATCAAAACCTTTTTGGACAGCTTTCTGGAGATATTCCCAGGTCATTTTCATGCAAAAATGCATTACCTCGTCCATTACCCGCGCTTCATTACCTTGTACGGGCCGCTGAGGCACGTCTGGTGCATGAGGTTTGAAGCGAAGCACCAGTATTTTAAAGGAATCGCCCGAATAACTCGTAATTTTGTCAACGTTACTCTGACGTTGTCAAAAAGGCACCAGATGCGGCAGTGCTACGAGCGCCTAAGTAGCCTAGACGTAGGCTATGTACCCATGGCAGCCGCTAAGGAAGCGGCTTTCATGACTTTGCCAACGTCGCTGCAGGAAAGCGTCAAAGCCAATTTCGACACCGAGTTCGATGAGCAGGAAATTATGGTCGAAGTCAAGGCGCTTAAGAAAGGTTCCGTAATGTACAAAGTGGGACTGCTGTATCCTGTAGCTCTCTTACACGCAGAAGAGATCCCGCTCTTCTTTGAGATTGAAAGGATCATAAACGTGAGGGGCCTGTGGATGTCATGTGGTAAGCTCTTGAGGCCCACACATTTCCTGGAACATGAGCACGCGTATGTCGTCAAAGAGACAAGCGACTGGCACTCGTGCCAACCTGGATCGGAGATTGATCACACACCTTTGAACAAATATGCAAATTCGAAAGGTGACATCACGGTTTTTCTGAAGTATCGCATCTCCGGAAACAAATGCTAAGCCTGACCAGCTCGTGCTCTCTCTTCCCTCGGAAGTGCGCGTTCTTATCTCCTGCTGTCGCCAGAATAGCTAGATCGGTAATCGGTAACGCAGTCCCTGCTCTCCCGGCAGCTTTGGTTAAAATCCGCACCGCGGGAAGGGATGACGGCAAGCGGGGTGTGGGGAAGTTCGGGGGTAAAGTGACAAACCAGCCACCTGACCTCTCAGTATAAATAATAATCGAAGCGTTCTTGACACCTAGTGCTAACGTGTCCATTTCCTTGGCTTTGCATCAGATAACGAGCTCGATGGCGAGGAGTTATTCAATTTAACTGACGACATGATAAAGACACTGTTCCCGACCATGAAGAGCCAGCTTCGTTTCATCAGAGCAAGGAAAGATCTGCGCGAGGAAAGGTAGGAGGAGATTAAAAAATGTTCTCTATAGCAGCTCGCCCAAACCTGGCATGACCATTGTACATGTCATTGCGTATTTCGTAGCTCGGCAAACGCTGCGGAACCGGAAGCTCTCCCGCTCATCGTGGAACTGGGATCCACACAAGATCCGCCAACAGATACATGGCCTTCTGTTTATAAGTTGCCGCCATTTCCTCCTGCTCTTCAAAGGGGCCTGGTTGAAAAAGACAGGAGCCTTTTCAAGCCCGGACAGTCAAGGCTTCGTACAATGCTTGTCCGCGCTCTCGCAGAGGATATTACGAAATACTCACTGTAAGTTAGAAAGCAATAATATATTCGAACAGAGCATTTCTACTAGAAAACGCATGGTTATCCTACAGTGTATTTTTAACTCCTTTTGAATCGCTAACCAAAGCTTATCTCGAATCACCTTCATTTGCTCACGTGATAATTTTTTTGCTGCTTGTATCACATACGCAATGAGGGCATTCGCTCTTCAATTATTATACCCTTCTCTTTGTAACAGGTACCCAAGTAAGACGCAGTATAGTGACGTTTTCGCTACACTTGGAGCAAGGTATCCGTTTCTGAAGGACAAGGACACAGGTAGATGCGTAAGTGTCCGTGTTGAGATCAAATGAAATAGTTTATTTGAAATTGACCATTCGATAAAGAAATTGTTGTCTGCTTTAGTGTTTCCAGTGTTTGCTAAGAGTGCACGTTGCTCTCATTAAATTAGGAGCCTGTTCAGCAAATAATTCGCGTGAAGCCTTCCTATTATTCTGCTATTCCCTTATCGATTACACAGATGATGCAGGAACAAAGGTTACGGACTATACGCGAAAAATTTTCTGCATTTTTTAGGACTTTCTTTTAGTGCAAGTTCTAGCTTATAAAATATGTTCCAGGCAATTACCTTGCCATGAGCGGTACTGCAAAACCTCATTCATACGTATTAAAGTAGAAGGCGAAAGAAAAAAAAACGCGATATCTGACGAAATGCATGGCCCTAGTGAGACTCCTATTGGCGTAATACAAACGAAGCTCTTTGGTCGCGCGCGTATAAGCCGGGAAATCCAGTCAACCACGTGCGTATTCGCGAGGATTTACTGTACACTTCGAGGCACTGTTAGCGCGAACACGGCATCGGCGCTTTTTTGCGTCTTTCATACAAAATATATAAACGAATGTAAAGTTTTACTGCACTGGTTAATGAGCAAAACAAGCCCATTCCACCGTGCTAGTTAGTATTAATTGTATATTTTCATTTGATGAAAAAAACAGGAAAATCTCCGGGTCGCTTGTTCGTGCTAACAGTGTCTCGCAGTGTACTTCGGAGAATTCTTAACTGTTGATTCGTGTGAAAGCTAAAAATTAAGGCAGCTGTCCTTTTACTTTCTCCTTTTAGGACACAATCAGACAATGCGTTCAAAACAAGCTGAAAAAAGAACGCAGGCCACTAGTGTCCTTGAGGGAAGTTACGGATTACAGAAATAAATATGGAACTAAGGGCCGAGGAAGGAAGCGCTCAGCAGAACACGATATTGCGGGGCCGTCTGCCAAGGCATGCCGCCGTGTGAGTAGACCATTTCACTATCTGCGTTTTAAACAGTGTACAATTTCGCATGATCTTGTCAACGCTACTAGAGACCAAGCAACTGATTTGGTTTGCCACCTGTGTTGTAAATTGCACTTGTCCGTTGTTAGCAATGATTACGATATTGTACTCACCAACGTTCGTGCCTTACGAGGGGCATTTAACTTACGACGTCTCCTTATTTTTTAATAAATATGTTACATGTGATAGAAACCAAAACTTTCGCCGTTGGCCTACACGGTCATCCCGCAGTTATTTTCTGCGAACGCCGGACCACAATCACACGGCCGCTGCGAAGGCTGTTTGAGGAGCCTGTCGAGACTGTTGCCGCGATGGTAGCGCAGCCGGTAGAGCGTTTTTTTTTTTTTTTTGAACAGGTACAAAAATAGATACTGCGCCTGAGTATCGAATGCTGGGCGCGCTGTTATTAAACAATCGCTCTACCGACTGCGCTATAGCCGCGGCAATGCTGCAGGTGCAAACTTGCGACGCACATTACTTGCACAAAAGAAGTAGCAAATTAGCTGTACAGCGTAATTATAGTCCACCAGTCAGATAATGAACAGCTGCTTTTAGTTGCACCCTGCTGAGGAATATAAAATGTTCACGCCGCCCCCATAATTAAAATTTAGCTCGCGTGTTTCAGCTTACTGGCAGCAACTTACATCCACAGCTATTTTGATGGGTCGCGAGAGCTATTTGTCGAATGCCTTGCCCAGCCTCTGTGGGATCAACACACCGAACCTGTTTGAAGCTTGGCTGAAGGGTGACTGGGGCGTATGGAAAAGAAAGCGCAGAAAGGCAGGTGCTAGACGCACATTTATGATTGAATCGACCAAAATTTATCTGCAGTCCGTTGCTGAAAAATATGCCATTAATTGGTTCAGCATACGAGCCACGTAGAAAGTTGCTTTTTCATTATACTCTAGTCAAAGCTGTGTTCAGTCTGTTGAAAGCCTACAAGCTTGAACGGTGTCTGCAGCTAACAAATTATGCTTTCTTCTAGGGCTCCATTTCTTCTAACAAATGTGAGGACGAGGCCAGCATCCGTCACCACATCGCCGTAATGAAAGAAGAGACAGCGAAAGTGGCTGCGGACATGGATCTGATTCGAGACCGCATGAAGCGGACGTTCAAAACACGGCAAGATCTTATTCTGCGTGAAACTGGCGTGCGCACAGTCATCGAGGAATTTCCAGCGGTCACGCTGCCTGGCATGGTAAGTCGACATGCTGCAAGCGTTTTTACGGAAGCTTTCCACCGGCGTCTTTGTTCAGTTGTGAGGGTGCAGTCCAGAGGGTGAGACATAGCTGAAGGGAGATTTACATGCTACACCACAGCGCGGCATGCGGTCTTCCCCAGAGGAAGACGGACAAGCTTGACCTGAGTCAAATACCTTGCAATTTTTACGTTTCCTTAAATTTTAGTCATAAGCTTGCATGAAGTTTGTTGAACCTCCGCGCCTTTGTTCTTAGCTTTCACATAGAACATAATATCGGCCGTCGGAAAACTCTCCTTAGCAAAACCAAGACGCAGATAACTCAAGTAAAGCACAAGTATGAGAGAATAGGATATTGATATACACGGAGATCAAAAGCGTTACATACTTTTTAAAAACTAGGCGCTGTGACGTACGCGAAGTCCACATCTATACATAGCTTATGCAGCCACAGCGAAAATCAGTGCGATAACAATTGTCACATATAAGGGGACAGGGAATAAACTAAAATCAACTAATGAGCTTTTTACTGGCTACAGTAAGCGGACTGGAACCTTAAAGGGGGGGTGCAACGATTTTATGATTAACAGAATTATCATCTCGTAATTTTTACGTTGTTTATTGTGTCCAGGAGGATAGAGAAAACACATCCTTCATTAAAAATGTCACGCTTCCGCTGTATAATCGCAAAACAAAAGCCGAGCTTTTTCCCCCACCTACAGCCCCAAGCGGCAGCCGAAGGAACTACGGCGAAAAGATTACGTGACCTCGCGCGGCTCTAAGCTGCA